ATTAAAAATTAAATTTTAGAAATAAAATATAGGAATATATAAAGAGAGAATATAGAAAAATATATTGTTTAAGATTTTAGAAAGTAAATCTAAAAATATATAGAAAAAGATAACAAGAAAAAGATTTGTAGCATTAATTAATAAAATAATATTTTAGTTATTTTATTTAGTATGTTCATATTTAAAAATATATTAAATAAAGAATTGAGATAAGTTTATCAAAATATTAATAGTTAATAAAAATTATTTTAGGTTAGGTAGCATAATGTTGACTAATTGTAGGCAAATCCAAGCACGGAGTGTTCAACTTTTAAAACGTTTCTTGATGGTTAACGCACCTTATGCTGTCATCTTATGTATGCTCACCTCAGCCAATCATTCATGCTGCTCATGTAGACACAATTAATGCTTGAGCGATTCAATCACGCTGGATATTTATGCGTTTCAAACCATTTATTAATAAAATTTCAAATTTCAATACTTCATATTAAAATTATTAATTTTAAAATTAATTAAAACACCTTAATTTTCTTTTTAAAGTTACTAATTTTAAAGGTGGATAGAAATTAGTAGATTTAAATTTTAATATAAATTTAATATAAAAAATAATTAAAAGAGTTAATTTTATTTTTAGATAAAAGTTTATGCGCTAGAGGAAAAATTTTATAATTTCTAAAGAGAAAAAGAAAAATATACAAATATCGTAATTATCATCGTGAAGTCACAACTATGAGTTTTCAAAGATTCAGTTCGATTTTGGATCTTTTTATAAATTAAACTGAATATGTTGGTCCTAAATATTTTTTGACATAATCAGTTTTATACCTACAAAAGAAAAAAACGAACCAAACCAAATCGACCTAAGTTGATTTGGTTTAGTTAACCTGATAGGTCCGGTTCTCTCCTCTCAAGTGCTTGAAGAGAAGCCTAGTTAGCAACAAAACATGAGAAAGAAACCCATCTTTAAAATATATCTATCATACATGTGTCCTAACTCACAAGTTAAGGAACCCAAATAACAGGTCAGGACCAATCAGTACGAGCAGCAGAAGCCAGTCCACCAAAAGACGGAAGTTCCATAATCCAGTTCACGCTGGAAGACGGGAGACCAAAATTTTGGGCGCACAAATATGAAAAGGGGAAAAAGTTATTTTGCATGAAGAAATTGAATTCCCGCTCGAGCAACAGTTGTCAGCTGCCACCTTGTAGAATAGGCCAATCATGACTAAGGCCTATAAATTAATTGGGATGGGATATGCGCCTCACAATTTGTAATTAGCTTCTAAGAGAAGCTTCGGGTACATACACTCTCATGTAACATTAGGGAATGGGCCCCATCCGCATGGCAATTGTGTACAAAGGGAGCCGGCTTCTCTCATATAAATGATTGTAAACCCAAAAGAGAGCCATCAAAAAATCAAGAAATACAACTAGTTTTTTATCGACCCGGGTTTTTTTCTTTTCTCGTAAAATTTCAAATTTGATTTTTGTTGCATATAGAGAGAGAGAGAGAGACCCAATAAAAGTTGATAAGACAAGGCTAAGTCAGTGGGCTCCATTTGAGTTTTAAGAGAGAAAGTCCACTGTTGAGAGCTGCCGGGCAAAAGCCAATTTGTAACCGGATCATGGGACAAAAAGATTGGGTCTGTCACACTTACATATATACATATATGTATGTATATATAATTTTTTAAAAAAATTTAAAAATAATTAAGTTATGTATAATTTTTAATAAGTACCACTTTTTTTTTAAAATAGGTTTGGTTCAATTTTTTTTAACTAAATTAAAATTAAATCGAATAGAATCGACGAGTTCATAAGTTTTTAAAACTGAATTAAACTATTTTTTTTTTATTTTAATTGATATTTGATCGGTTGGATTTGATTTCAGTCAACCCAATTGGCCTGGATCGGTTTTTGATAACCCCTGGCCACGACAATATCACGCAGGAAGGCGTGTTTCCGTTATTCTGCTTCCAATCTTGGCACGCATCTCAGTGTGCCTTCGTGCTATTTGTTACCCGCTAAACCAAGCGCGTGAATATTAACCTTATATTAATTTTTTAAATCAAAAAATGGTTTCATAAGTTTTATATATAGTTACACGAAAAATTATCGAGAAATAAATTTGTAATTATTTAAAATAATTATTTATTTATTTATTTTTATTTTTCTTATACCGCCCTTAAAAAATTAAATCTTCAACATAACATTCATCTTTTTTTCCTTCTTCTACTATTTTTTTAAATAAATTATATGGCATAAATATAATTATATGAAAATTATAATTTAACATTTTTCTCAAATTGCATTTAACTTAATATTTGAATTATTGATTTGTATAGATATATAATTTAAAATGGAGTAATAGTTCTTTGTTTCTCATTAAACAAAATAAATATTATAAAAATCAATTATATAATTATTTAATTATGCATTTAGAATACGTTCACAAGTATACTTTTGTATATTTTATATATTTTTAGAATTTTTTAAAAATATTATTAAACCCCAACAAAGTAGTGATATTTTTTTATACTAGCTCTTTCCTTTACATGTTTAAATGTAAATTAGAAATGCTTTAAGCATAGACACATCAACTTGCCCATCTTGTATATGTAAATTTTATATTTATTTCTTTGAGTAAATATGTTTTTCACTAATGTAAATTTGATCTAGTTATTTAAATTCAATAACAAAAATACAAGAAGACTTAACAAACTTTTTTTTTTTAAGATAAGACCAATATTTTAGAAATCTTATTACCATTAATCTAATAAGATATTGTTACAAATCTAGATTTAAAAGTACTAATTTGTTACAAGCTTAATTCAACTGTGTGACAATTAGGCATAAATCTTAGAGCCAATTAAGTTGTATACACACACACACAAATGTTTCTCTCAATTAAACCAAGTGTTACCTTTCACCAACACTCCCAACACACTGGTAAAAGTAGAAATAAGCGCACGAGAAGATATCAAGAAAAAATTTTCCCTTTAATCACTAAAGATTGAAAATTTTTTAGAATTGACTAACTCAATCTATTTACAAATTAAGAGTTACCTTAAACCCTTAAATCCAAGCCAACTCTTTTTCTCCCCTTAACTCACACCTTGTTTGTTTTGGTTACAAGAGATTGCACAAGGTTTGGATCCCTCACCAAATTACTCTCCCATGGCAAGTCATCTAACCTTCTTTACAAGAGTTCTCCTACTAACTACCTCTTTGTTTTTAAATATATTTTAGTTACAATATAACATTTACAAGGCTTATTAAATAGGTCAACCCATGCCCAACAACCCTAGAGGAATTCCAAGGCATTTCTCCTTGTCTGCCTCCATCATCTTTCCCATTTGTGGCTTGGTCAATGCTCTTATCAGTCACATATATATTGACCCAACCACCTACATCTATTACATGTAGTTGAGCTCTAGGAATCCTCGAGACACTTCCTAGCCTTGCCATGTGGGCATTCCACCTTGATCGCCAACTCATTGTCCTGCATCCATATATCCCTCCTCGGTTGGCCACCTTAGCGCCTTGTTGGAACATGCCTTGCTATGATCGCCTAGCTCCTTGCCACCATGGCTCCCTCATGTCATGCCAATGCATTACACCCTTGTCTGCATGGTTGTGCCGTGCTATGCTGTTCCTTGCCATTGTGTTCCACTTCCGCCTTGTCAGGTTGATGCGTCTTGAACCCCTCCTTGAGCCTTGCCTTGGCCTTAACCCATGCCACCCGAAGGTTTGGCTCCCACTTGATCTTCCATGATGGTCAAACCCCAATGCTTCCAAGTGTCGAGTTACGACAATATGCCATCTCTAAAATTTGAAAAATGAAGAGAAAGAAAAAAGAGTAGCATAATATAAAATAAATAGTCTAAACTCCATAAAATAAATATAAATAAGGTTAAATTAAAAATACTAAAACCTTTAATCAAATTAAATATGTAAACAAAAACTCGTTATTTATATTAATTTCCATTACTTGAGTACAATTATTTTTGTCATTTTCCTCCGCAAATCCAACTATCAGATGTAAAAGAATGATGGGATGATGCAATTTTCTTAGGCAGGAAAAAAAAATTCTAACAAGTAGAGTCACGCGCCAAAACTGAGAGTGGATAACCGCCCTATATGCCTTCCTCCTCGTTTCCTGATACTGCTAACGTTGTTAGGAAAATTAACAGACTCCTTCTCCCGTCGCTATCCTCCCCACCGTCTTCACCTTCCAGCTTGATTTCTTTTTATTCAATCCATTTCCCCATATCCCAATACAAATCTGCATATATCTATATATTAAACACATCAGTTACGTATCTCTTCTTCCTGTGAACGTACTATATATATATTGGTTGAGTATATCCTCCCGTCTTTCTTGTTCCGCCGCTGCATCACGAGCCTTGTCGTACAGAGATTTTTTAAGGGACAAAGCCCACTATGGAGAAAGCTATTGAGAGGCAGAGAGTTCTGCTCCAGCATCTTCGTCCGTCATCCACTGCTTCTTCGCTTGATAACGTCGAATCGTCCCTCTTTGTAATTCCCTAATTTAGTTCTTGGTGATCCTTTCATTTATTTTGGTGTTTCTGGATTTCGTTTATCAGTTGTGCTAGACGTTGGAGCTTCCTTAAATGCTGGGTTAAGGTTCATATCCTTAGTAGTTGTGTTTGATTCCTGGTTTGAAGTCGGCGTTATTTATCATGTTTGTTTTAAGTTTTACTATTATGTCTTGTATTATTGGATAATATTTTTTTGGCCTAGGTTTCGTTAAAAAGCACTTGTATCTGTAGCTTCTTACAGAAATTGTATTCAAGAAAATTGATTTTGAGGATCCAAGCTGATATTTTTATGTAATAATCTAATCTCAATTTGAGTATTTTTTTACGTCTTCGTCCATGATTTTGCTCTAGTAAGGCGTCTGGTTGGTAGTGTGTATCATGTTTTTTCCACAAGTAGTATGCCTGAACTAGATTTTGATGAGACAGACAGAGCCAGAGATGCCCAGAGTCAGTGATTGAAATTTGATTATTTTGTATGTATACCCATTTGTTACTCAAATTCTCTTTTGCACGGAAACGTATGATTACATTTAAACTCTGTAGAAGGCTAAAATTTGAGGTAAGACATCAGTTTGCCAGCCCTATGACTGTTTGTATCATAGATTAACTCCTTTATACGGGACATGGTCTAGATCAGAGTCTTTTAACATGTGCCTATGATGAGATTAGAATTTTAGTAAGGTCAAAAATTTAGGATCCCATTCAGGCAAAGTCCATGTATTCAGTATGTGTTGTCTAATAGAAATTTACATGCAGGGTGATCTGATGTTTCTTTCCTAATTTAGTATGTTTTTCTCACTACCAGGCATCAGTTTGTGGTGCGGGGGATAGTGCAGCCTACCAAAGGACTTCTGTTTATGGGGATGATGTAGTCATAGTAGCGTGAGTCAATTACTGTTATATTTCGCATTGTTTCTATATCCTGTTGTTCTGTCTTTCTTAGAATATCTTGTGATTTCAATTATACAGTGCTTATCGAACGCCAATTTGCAAGTCGAAGAGGGGTGGTTTCAAGGATACTTATCCAGATGATTTACTCACCCCTGTTCTAAAGGTTTGTTATTTTTTATTAATATCCCGTTAATACCTGGAATAAGGTTTGAAGATATTAAGAATTTTCTACACTGATTTTGACTTTATGGTACAGGCTTTGATAGAGAAAACAAATCTGAACCCAAGTGAGGTTGGGGACATTGTTGTGGGTTCAGTATTAGCACCTGGGTCTCAAAGAGCAAGTGAATGCCGAATGGCTGCATTTTACGCTGGTTTCCCTGGTAAATAACTTTGCATGCATGCATTATTATTTTTTGGCTTCATTATTTTCCACAGCTGATGTATATCTTTCTCTGTCTCCCAGAAACTGTTCCAGTCAGAACAGTGAATAGGCAATGTTCATCTGGTCTTCAGGCAGTTGCTGACGTGGCTGCAGCTATCAAAGCTGGCTTTTATGATATTGGTAAAGCAATCTATTTTGGAGGATGCCCAGGGGTCTAGGTCTGAAATCTTTACATTAAGTTATTCCATTTGTACTTATTTTATAAAATCCCCTTCAAATAGGCATTGGTGCTGGTTTGGAGTCCATGACAACAAATCCAATGGCATGGGAAGGATCAGTTAATCCTAGAGTATGCTCTATCTCTCTCTCTGTCATCTTGATTGTTGGAACTTCAAGAATTTTCTTGGGAGAGAATTCTTTTAATATTATTACTGTAGTTGCTGACCAGTTTTATGCATTATGTAATTATTCAGGTCAAGACAATGGCGCAAGCCCAAGATTGCCTACTTCCAATGGGCATTACTTCAGAAAATGTTGCACATCGTTTTGGTGTAACAAGGCAGGAGCAAGACCAGGCTGCAGTGAGTTCTTTCATTTGGTGATTCTTTTGGTGTTATGACATTGTTCATTATCCTAATGGTATTTTCTTAGGTCGAGTCACACAGAAAAGCTGCCGCTGCAACTGCTACTGGTAAATTTAAGGAGGAAATAATCCCTGTGGCTACCAAGGTATGTACTCATGTTTCAGTTTCAGGAAATTGTCACATCATTTTTCAGTTGCTCACTGCTTTTCCAAGTTGATGCCTTGACGTGGATGTTGTATTAAAAAAGATTGTAGATCCTAAAACTGGAGATGAGAAACCTGTTACCATATCTATTGATGATGGAATTCGGCCAAATGCATCATTGTCAGATCTGGCAAAACTGAAGCCTGTATTTAAGAAAGATGGGACTACTACTGCTGGTATATTAAAACGCTACCTCTGTTAATCTATAATCTATATGAGAAGCATATTGGTTGTGAATTTGTGATTGTTATAACCTTGGTGTTTGTACCAAAGGGAATTCTAGTCAAGTGAGTGATGGTGCTGGAGCAGTGCTCCTGATGAGGCGAAGTGTTGCAATGCAAAAAGGATTACCGATTCTTGGTGTGTTCAGGTTTGTAATTTATAAAATGTTTCTATTGAATTAATTTCAAATTTAGATTGGTTAATTACTACCATCCTCTGTCAACCAATTTATTTCTAATGCAAATCCATCCTCTTGTTTCTGATACATAGATCTTTCATGTGTTTCCAAATTTATCGCACCCTTGAAGGAAGTTGCTGCATCCAAAGGCTGATTGACGTTGCTTTGATATTTAATAATTGTTTTGTATTAAAGATCAGGAGCATAAAGACATACCATTTTTTCTAATTTATAGTTTTACTACAAAACTACCTTTTGAAATGGTGGATGTCCTTATCGAACAAATTTTTGGTCATATCTTAGTCTTCGTTTAGTGGGAAAATGGACTTGTTTTCTCTTCTTCATTACTTAACTACTTTAAATAGCTTGCTTGCTTCTTTTGAATCTTCACCGCTAGAACATTTATGAATTTTTTGATGTCCCTGTGTTGTTTTTATTGGTGTAAACCTGCATTTGGTTAGTTAAAGTATACAACTTCACTTGTGTTGTATCACAGAATTGCTTCAGGGCTTCCTGGATGAAATTTTTTTGTTTGTAACAACCATAAGGCTGTTGCCTATTGGATGTTCTTGTTTCCTATGTTTTTATTGTATATCTTTTCCTGGGCAATGAATATGATTTCAATGAGGATTTTTCCTAGCATGATGAAGTACCTGGCTCCTTTTCCCAAGGCAGATCCTAATAGAGCCATTTTTATTGGCTGATCCTGTCAGAAGTGGGTGCAACTTATTTAAACAACCAACCTTTCACTGTTGCAGAGTGATCTATATTTATTCCTTTTTAAATTTCTTGGGACACTATTGGTATAGCCTTTTTATTGTTATTCTGAAATTATCAGGACAAGCCTCAAGGAGTTGCTGCTCATGCTTTATGGAAGTCATTACTAATGTGCATTGAGATGTTTTGTAGTCTTGTTGATTAAAAAACTTCAGGTTTTGACTAATGCTAGTGATCACGATTCACGGTATGGTGTTGGTAGTGATATAATTTATGCACTTAAGAAGTATTCTTGTATGCTGTTTGGTGTTTACTATGCTGGATGCTTCACTGAGTGACAATCCTATGCTAGCTTCTCTGTTCATGATCCATCTCTGGAATGCTTGCATCATGTTGGACTCTTGGGATTGTGTTACAAGAAACCCTATGGTATTATACATTGAAAAGTTTTGGTTGATGCTTCTGCAGGACTTTTGCTGCTGTTGGTGTAGATCCTGCCATTATGGGTGTTGGCCCTGCTGCTGCCATTCCAGCTGCAGTTAAGGCTGCTGGCCTTGCACTTGATGATATTGATCTTTTTGAGATCAATGAGGTATACAAGATCATGAACTTTCCAATACATAAGATCTTACCTCCCCCTCCCTCTTGCTCTCTCCGATGCAGACATACATAGTTAAGTCTGTTTTGCAGGAACAACTTAACTGCAATATTATTTGTTTTATTGTTCCGTTGATTTCTGTGCTATAACAGGCTTTTGCATCCCAATTTGTGTACTGTCGTAAACAACTGGATCTTGACCCAGAAAAGATCAATGTTAATGGAGGTGCTATGGCTTTCGGGCATCCTTTGGGTGCAACAGGTTGGTGGTACTTGAATATTTATCCTTTTCCACCTATACCTTTATCCAGTCAGGAGTTCATTTTGAATGATATTTAACACCTAGAAATGCTGCTATGCGATGAACCCACTTGTTTATGCTTGGATTTTATGCCAATCTATCTTGGAAAATATACTCTGCATTCCAGTTCTTTCTATCTTCTCTTACTTGATGTTTGTGTGAAAATCCTGTTTAACATTTTCTGGAATCTAATGAGATTGCTTTTCTGCTGCAGGAGCACGCTGTGTTGCCACATTACTGCATGAAATGAAGCGCCAAGGTAAAGACTGCCGCTTTGGCATTGTGTCTATGTGCATAGGTATGCTTCCTTCGCCTTCTTCCTCTACTCAGCTGTTTTATGTTTGCTTGAAATTATGATTTTAATTTTTCTTCTTAGGAATGTTTTCCCATCTAACTGATCAACCCACATCTGATTTGTAACTCTTTATCTTCAGGCACGGGAATGGGGGCTGCTGCAGTATTTGAAAGAGGTGACTGTGTTGATGAACTCAGCAGTGCACGCAAGATTGAGACCAATAATCTTCTCTCCAAAGATGCTAAATGAAATTCTCAATTTATGCTTATCAAATTTTTTAGGGATCAAATTACAGCTGGAGGGGGAGAACCCAGCAGATGGAGGAAATAATACAGGTATTGGATTGCTGTGGAAGAACATTTGCAAGGTTACTTTCATGGGGATGATACTCATTGGTAGATTAAAGCAACACAGCTTCACTTTCATCAGAGCTTGTAGTATGGAAGCCATATGTAATATAAAGTTGATTAAAACAATGTGAATGAAACCCATTGATAAATGCTTCTAAAATCCTCGTTAATTATTTTTGGAAACTTATAATCCTAATTGTTGACTCGGAAGTGATCACTAGTCTATAGCATTAAGATCTATAATCTATAACTTAAAATTTAGAAGTTATCAATAGCTAGGAAGAAGACTGGTGATGGTAGTAACCCAACATGATCACTCTATTGAAAAGCCTTTTCTGTGCACAAATCATTTAAATTTATTTGTGTATGCAGAAATATGCAAGTATTTGTTGTGAACAGCTTGGTGGATAGGGGTGGAAAGTGATTGGAATTAGTACTGAACCCTCGAACCAATCTGCTATTATTGTCCTATTCCTACTTGTTGAAGAAAATAAGATTCTGGCTTGAATGAGTTAACTTTACTTCGAGGTTTCAACTCCCATCATACCTTTTCTGATTTGAAGACTCTTGAACAAAGAGTTCAAGGGAAACATGAAAGAGTTTTAGGCTTGATTTTCATGCTGTAGTACACACTCCTGTTTGCATCAGCCAATTAGGGGGATGTCAAAAACTGGAGCTTACTATGATTTAGCACTGATATTTTACACAAACAAACCACAGGGCTGTCTGGTAAAAAGGATACCAAACAGAACTCTGCGACTTAAATTGTATTCTAATGATATCTGCATTTCTCTGTTCGTATGGTTTTTGAACCATTTTTCTCTGATTTTGCTTCATCTACTGGGTCATCTACATTAGCGCTTTATTTTGAAAAGCACCACTGTCTACTTGCCACTTGAAAGCAACTTCTACAGTGGAAATTTTCTTCCGGTTCTTTCCTGAGGATCCTTTCTTTTCCAATCGCGGGATGGCTGCTATTGCGATTAGTTTCTCTACAAACAAACTGTAATATAAACTGAATCAATGTTAAGAAATGACAATTGAAATTAGAGATAGAAGTGAGATAGTGAAGAAATACAAAAAATTACACGACTCTAACTCTTCCCATCTTCTCTTTCTCGGCACTTCCGCTGGCGGGTCGTTTGTTGCTGCATGACATTGCTATTCTCAACACTGTTGTGGTGTCAATCTCTTCACTCAACCAATTTTTATTAAATGATCAAACTGCTTTTCTTTCAATTGAAAATAAAAAATATTTTTTTTGCTAAAAATATAATACAAGTTTGCAAAATATTATTATGGATGAACTTGATTTTGGTATCATATTAAAAATTGAAAGTTCAAATTAGAGATAAAAGAGATATAAGAAAAGTATATAAAAATTTACATAATTTGGTATGACTAGTTAACGTACTTATTTTAATTTTATTTTTATTAAAAAAGATAATATTTCTTGACAGTCCAGGGAGGCCAACGCAAGGCTAAAAGCTAGAGGTGGCAAGGCATAGAGTAACAGGACTAAAGTCTGGTTAGACAATTTTGGTAAGCATAGATAAAATAAAGCTTCTTTGACTGCCCAAAATTCAGCCGTCACACTTGTATATTTCGGGCAAAAGCAAAAATGAAACTAGATGGAAAGTCCTTGGCAACTCCTCCCACTCTTGCCAAATCCGTCTGATGAGAGTGAGCTTCGTTGACATTGACTGACCTTGATCGGGTCCAGGTTGCAGCTGAGGTAATGCCACAGCATACTCTGAGGAGATGATCCTGTTGCTGCATTCTGAGTATAAATAAAATAATAATAATAATAATAAAGCCTGAGATATGTTTCCTTCAGATAGCTTTCTCTTTATTAATTATTTTCTCCTCTTTCCTGTTGTTTTCTCCAACACCATGTTTGGATTGGGTTATTGGGAGAGAAATTAATAGAAAGATGTTTAAACTAACTTGAAGTTTAAAATGACTTAGAATATTTAAGTGCTTATTTGATGAATAAACAGTTACTTAATTGGATAAATATAAATTAACAAACTCAAATTTATGGAAGCATAGTAAATATAAAAAAGGAAGATACGAGTTTGACTAAATTAATGCCAAATCCTATTTGACATAAACATTAATAATTAATAAAATTCTTTACAATTAATATTACTGAATGATAACTATATGATTTAGAATTAACAGTAGAATATAGATTACATAAAACTTTAGTTATAAGAGTGTTTATATTGTTTGATCACATAGTGGGAATATCAATTTGGTAAGAAAATAATTATGAAACATATCATGATTAAACACAAAATTAATATAAATCCAAGTGAGGAATAATAATGTTTTAATTTTGGGTATTAGGAAATAATTGGTTATTTAAGTGGTGTTAGCTTGTTTTTTAAATCCAGTTATCTTATAAAAAATTTTCAATAAACAATTTCTGTAAAAAATAGATAAACTATAAAAATTGAATAACAAAAGTCTATCAAGCTACGTAATTAGACCAAATTAATTATTTAAAAGTTAATTTAAATGAGAAAGAAAAAATCCAATAAATATAATAAATATTCAATTCTTTTTTAATTTAGATTATCCATATAATCAATATATATAAAACTTGATTTAGGTCAGTTAAACTTTCAAAATCTTCTTAAATCCGCTATTAAAACAAAGTTAAAATTTTTCAAAATATTGCAGCCATCTTGGATTTGTTTTAAAAACTACTTTTTGTTTTACAAATTATTTTGAAAAGAAAAAGATGTTCAAGAAGGAATTTTCAAAATGCATGTTCTTTATGGAAAACAAAAAATTACGTTAATCATTTTATTAAACTATTTTCATTTGAAAATGAAAAAGTCAGCCATCCGCAGTGGTCTGGAGGATTGAGAAATAACATGCATAACTTCTCCATATAAATCAAGCTAAAGTCCTTAAGCCTGGATCAGATCCTTAAATCTGAGCAAGTTTCTCATCGGATCTACCAGCTTTTCGCTTGGTAGAACAATAACAAAAACAAGTATTGAAAGATCATATTTTAATTAGTTTAAGATTTAAATGATATTTTCTCAAGAAAATAAACTTATTATTTCAATATCACATGTCAAAATATTATTCGCTGCACAATCTTTAAGCTAATCAATTGACAAATTAACCTTTATTACTTAATACTTAATATTGGAAGAACATTATAAGAACATACTTTTTATAAAGAAGAAAAATAACATATTCAGGAACTTTAATATAAAAAGACAATCATATTCTAACTCTCCCTTTCTTTCAACTAGTCAAACATAAAAAGAAGTTATAATATTTCCCCTTTTATTTAGCAGAAGAAGCTGGTTTCCTTCCTTCTTTCATATATTCTCTTATAAATATCCAAACACTGTGCAAATAAATTTTAAATTTTTGGACCAAAAAAGGCAAAATTTTACAGATGTTTAGGGACAGCTTTGAATTCAATAGGGGCAATTGCATAAATAAGGCATAGGCAATGTTTAGTTTTAAATTTTTCAACGGGGACACCATTTGCCCCGTACAATTCCACCACTGCCAAATGTCCTTGTTACTTTTCAGGTGATAGATGATTTGCACACTGGGCATGATGTTTTTCTGCCAAGCCATGGATCAATACACTGCAAGAAAGGGTAAGAAGGAATTTGTTAGATGCTTTCTGGATGGCAGAAGTGAATAATTAACAATAAGATGAACCCAAGACAACTCTAGCGCTAGTAGTAGATCGCTGGTGAAAGTTCATTGAGATACTACTCTTGGCCCTTCCCCTCCCCAACCAAAGCCTCCAATGTATCCAACCAAAAAAAAAAAAAGAAAAAAAAAAGACAAGTTGCGCACATCTTTATGAAACTTATGTAAGCAAGGTAGATGGCGTATTATTTCTCCAGCATTCGGAGTTTCCAGGCAAATCGCACATGCTTCATCAAAATTTCCACCCTGTAAACAAATGATATTAGAGTACTGGATGCCAGAGCCTTTGAATCACACAAGCACTTTGATCTTAGATGTATATTACCTGAACTGTTGACTGTGGCAAGCCGTTAATTTGGTCAGGCGTTGCACCACCATGCTGGTGATTATTCTCATCTAGCGCCAATAACATCTCATAATCATTTCTGCATAGACAGAGGAAATATAAAATTAAACAGATAAAAAAATGAAGGACTACAATAAATTAATTAAAGAACTGGAAAATGTCCCAGCATATGGTACAAAGTAAAAATCTTATAAAACCCAAAAAACAGAGTAAAAGAATGAGAATAAGAAGTGATGCAGGATGAAATTGGATTTTGGAAGTGGACAGAAAGGATGAGATATTGAGAATGAAAATGAGATTTGGTTTGAGTGCTCCAGGGTTGTATTTTTTCACTATGAAGTATGAACAGTTCCCATGAATATAACTAGGTTTTTTGAGCACTGTAATCCAGAAATCCCACCTAGATTTGGGAATCAGCCCCACCCCAACTTAAGCTTACATCACAAACAGTTTACAGAACTTTACCTCATCAAAATCTCAGCCCCACTAACAAAAATACTATAGGCATATTTGTGGATGGCCAATATATTGTAAATCAACTAGGACTGAGACAACGAAACATAAGGATTATTAATTGTTACATAATTATAGACCTACAAAAAAGACCAAGGTATAGAAAGCCAGTAAACCTCACTTGACCATGAGACAAAAACAGCAACACCTATCTACATTTTGGGATGCTCATTATGTTCATTGAGCCTGTGCCCAACAAACTGGAAACATGTTTAAGTGTCTGCCCATGTTCATGTTTCTCCTCCTCATGCTCAACCACAAGAAGTTACTTTTAATTCCCAAGAATAATAACACATCAAGTAGGACACGTCAATGTGGTTCATGATTCATTGACAAATTGCCATATATATATTCTGAAGAGCCAGCAATGTTGATACTTATGCTCGAAGATACTATTCTAGGATGCAAAGGAAGCAATTAAGAAAGACAGGCCGCGTCTTCAATCTAGAAAAGATATGCATTGTACTATATTTGCATCAAGGAGGAAAATTAGTGAAAATCTCAATTTCATTAAGAGGAAGAAAAAGATAAATTTTGTCACCCCCTTTAGGGGCATCTTTATAAGCTCTGTAAGACTTCCAAAGCAACAAGTATTGCCATTTTTAAAGACTTCTAAGTTTGAACCATTCAAGACCTGACCAAGGACCTTGGCCCAGTAGTAATGATGTAAAACATAAGGAGAGAAGAGAGAGAATAAGAGAGAGATAAGGGATACCCCTCACAAGGAATTATCCTTGCCCAAAGGCAAAACAAGGTTACTAATAGTTTAATCCTAGAGCGAATAAAGGAGTTGTTGGGTTTCAAGCCATTTTTTTAAGTTCCTTTTTTTTTTTTCCTTCTAACCAAATGTCTGGCTCTGCACTTTACTTTTCATCTTACCCTCCTTGAAAGTCATTCATAAAGCTACGGATCCTTTTCCTTGTACCAAGGAAAGATTCCACTCATTCTACTCCTTTTACTATCTTGTGTGTTCCTCATGTTCCAGTACTCCCTGATAGGCTCTTGTAGGTCAAACTCATAATTTCCATCCCTGACAATTTCAATTATAAGGTAACTTCATATCCAGACCACTATGTTTTCTTCTGATTTAAACACAAGAGAAACCACTTGACAGAGATAAAGTGAGTGATGCATTGGAAGCTGATCATTGTGGTGCAACATCAACTCACCATTTGAATTCAACAGAAATGATTTATCAACAGTTACATCACTGGCAGCAATGTTTAGGACACCCTTCTTTTGATGTCATTGAAGAGTTTTTTTCATCAATGGGTAAGTACTGTAACTTGAAACACCATGTCTGTGATGCTTGCAAAATTGCAAAGAATCAAAGAAACCTTTTTATTCAGTTAATCTTGTTCCTATTTGATTTTTCATCCTGATGTTCAGTTGCACCCACACTCTTCGTTTACACGAGTATTGGCTTGTCACATTTATTGATTGTTAAAGTCATAAAACTTGAGTGTATCCATCATGTATCTTCACTATGAATGTTTCCCAAGGGCTATTGGGCCAATGATGTTACCGTTGGCTACATATTTGATAAATCCATGCTCTTGAGAGCCCTTGACTTCAAAACCCCTTGAAGTTCCACAGGGACAAGTTAGTTGCTAATAGATTTTCAATTTGAAGGTTTTTGGTTGCATTTGCTTTGTACATCACCACATTAACCATATTGGCAATCTTGTCCCTGGAGCTCTTCAAGTCCATTTTGTAGGTCAATTTGCGGCCTAGAAAGGAAATAAGTGTTGGTATCCACCCATTCACAAGGAGCTTATCTCCATGGAGTTTTCATAAGTGAGCTAGGTCCCCAAATCACCACTGAGGAAGCCTACTAAAGAGAAAGAAACTTCATCTTTATCTGCAGAAGAGCATTTCTGGATATCTAAAATTGATTTGCAAGATGAAAGCAAGGGGAGTAGCAAGTACATTGTAGCAGGGAGGAGCAAATTGACAACAAAGATTGAAAGAGAGCAACTCCTTGAAGACAAAAACACAGGTAAGAGTAAGAACCAGAACAAAAATTAGTTCAATGGAGAGAAGGGTACTCAGCAAAATGAGCCAAAGAATTAATCTATGAATGAAACAAGTGATAAAGGCATCACTCATTCTCACATAAATCAAGAGTCGACACCCTCCACATTTAGTTCTTTATGCTTCTTCAATTCCCATGTCCATTCTAAGTATTCTTATTCTAGTAGTGGGAATATTAAACTGCAGTTAATACAGGTGTAAGCCAATTCTGGTTCAATCAAGAGCAGATCAGAATCATCCTCCGACGCCCATTCTAGTGATGGGTTGTTACAGTCCACTTCAAATTTTAGGAAATAACCCTAACTGGCTTTCAACACATATCTACCCTGGAACCAGCCAAGTCCCAGATTAACAGATTTACCCACTATACATAATGTGTTTCACAAAAATCCAGTTCACCCAAGTGAATTTGTTGAACTGGGTGAACCACGTTCTAGATTTCCAAAGTCTTTGTTAGTTTCTTTTCTTTTCAGAAATTCTCCTCTAGTGGAATAAATAATCAAAATAGAAACAAGTGGCTCCATCCAATTCATTCAATGGTCCCAATTACAAAAAACTGGAATAAACACCTACAGGGTTGGTTCAAAACCCCACCTTGGAATTGAACCAAATAGACCAGTGCGCATCCTAAGATTTAGCAAAAAATAAGTGATTCTTTTGTTTTCCATCTAAATGTAGACATAAAAACTGTCTTTACGATTAAACTTAAGCTTGCTTTTTGGTGTAGGACAAGACGAGGTGCTAAATCACCATGACAACCAAGCTTCCCTTGAATAGAGAACTCGCATCAACTCAATCTAATCTGAAAATGTCATTCATAGATCAAAATTGCCAACCACAAAGGGTGTTAAACAAACATCCATACATTCAATCAGATGATCTAAGTTTGGAGTGTTTGTGCTGAGGCAAGGATTCTATCACTCAAAACTAGAGCTGTGTAAAGGTGGCTTAGGCAGGAGTAGAAAGGCAGCTGAGGAAGGCACAGAGTGGTGGTCTTTGACTACAACCATTCAGTATCATCCAGTGTGCTTGCAACCACAGTAAACCCATAAACCCTGACCACTGTGAGGTTCTGGCTCTCCAGTAACTTTCCTCAGCTGGGAAAAACTCGATTCTGGACTTAAAACTGATGGTAGTGCTAACAAAATTCAGGACCAACATAGCAAAGCTCTTTGTCAGTAATCTGTGTGGCATCAATATCTGGTCAGCCTTTTCAACTTACTACAAAGCATTTGTAACCACCATTGCAGGGTACAACATCCTCTGTGTCCGCTATGTCATCAATCTGCTCAACCTGAGCTGGCAGAGGTATCCACGTCAATAGTTGACAATCCACCTGAGGAGATATCAGATGAAAGAGGAGGAGGTCCAAGAGTTACCTCCATAAGGTAACAAATCTTTCCCATGAAAAACAGGACTAATGCTCATGTCAGATGGCAAATCTGGTAAATATGCAATAGGTCTGACCTTACAAATGACATGAAATGGTCCGATGGCTCAACCATGTAGCTTCTAATGAAGGTATCTTTTAGGTTGCCCACCAGCCATGACAAATATCCTTCTAGATCTAGTTCCCCATGCTAAACATTTGCAGCAAGCTAACAATCTTCATTATTCATAGAAATTTTTCATCTAAAATCAGTATATAGGTCACAAACATGTCAGACAAATGAACAATAAGACTGTGATGAACAAGCATCAATGGGAAAGGAAAAAGATCAACAGGGTGGAAGGGTAGAATACCATGAACAATTCCAAGAGCTGTTGTAAGCAAACTCAGTGGTAGATAGAACCAAGTCCCATGTGCCTAGCTTATCACTTGTAAACATAGTTGTTAATATGGTACATTACAAAATCCGTATTGTATGATATGAAACAACATTTTACTATTTCGTGACTATTAGGATAAGTATCGAAATATTGAAAATTATCGGATGAGTATCATTCCAATATCGGTAATTAACTATGTATATCATCCATATGTAGCTTTAGATATTCAAAAACAAAAACTAAAATAAAATTAAGAAGAGGAAAACGAAACATCAAAATGAAGCACATACCCATTCTTTTAGGTTCTCTCTGAGTCTGAGTAGAAGTCAAAGAGACAAACACAAACTCACTAACAAGTTGCAACTCAACTGAGAAGAAGTTGAAGTTGTGTGCATGCCTTTGCACACAAACCAGACAAAAAGTTGAGAAGAAGCTAGCCTTGTGTTACTTGAAGGAACAAACGACGCAAGGTTTTTTTTTTTTCATTGTTAACTGCACTTGTATAGCATAATTATATTGATTTTTTATTGTTAGTTGCACTTGCACAGTACACTGTTTTTCTTCATTATAATTGTTGACTTGCTTTTGAGATTAAAAATGATATTTTTGTTACCCATTGTGAATTTGTGACAAAACTATCCAATCAGCTTCAAACCCACATGATGACACTTAGTTTTGTAACAAGTTTGATTAAAATAATAATTTATCTTCCAAACTTTTACCCATCCATGTGAACTTTTTAGTTTGTGCAAGGATTAGCT